AACATCAGTTAAATTTGTCTTAAGACTATGTCTCATTGTGGCTCCAAAATGTGCTTAGAATGAAATAATATTACTTTTAAAGTTCTTTTTTCCAAAAACTTTTTCTTGTTTATAAATTTATAGCTGATTTTTAACATGATGAGAATAAATAATTGGTTTCCTAAACAAAAAGCAGGTACTCATACATTTTTATCTCTTATTATTTTTCCTCTGAAGACAAAACTTAATTCGTTTACATCCATCTTTCTTGTTTTCTGCCCTGGGAAGGGTTTATTCGATTAACAAAACAATAATGAAGATAAACAAATTTGTGAAGGGTCGGATTAAAAGAAAAATCATTTTGTGAAGGGTCCATTTTTATGAAAAGATATTTTATGAAGGGTCTGTTAGCGGACCCAAATTTCTTCTAAACAGACCCCTGATGATTGTATTCTTTTATCACCTGAATTATTTGAAATTTTTTTGATAGTGAATGAATGTATTTTTATTTAAATATCTACATTATTATTATAATTTTTTTGTCCCCATTTTTGAATGAGAGTCCATTTTTGAACATCTGTAAAAGCCCATTTTTTTAAAATCAGAAAATTTGTCCATTTTTTAAATAATGTGTAAATCAAAAATAAAATTTTGTATGTTTGCTTTATTTGTTCTGTTTATTTGTTATTAGTTACTTTCTGAGAACATACAAAATTGTTATTATTTTTAATTTTTAAGTACCATTTTTTAATTCTTTTATGTTTTACATTCATGTTTTTATTTAATTTAAATCTAATTTTGTGTAAGATAAAAACTTAGATTTTAATGTGTATTCAGTATGAGATTCTTTTCAATGTATGTTCATTCAAAAAGTTTCTATGTGCATTTTTTTAAAGGTTATTTTGTTGAATAAATGAAGCTGAAAACACAATAGTCTGCTATTGACAATTTATTACTTATTATAAGAAAATGTTTACACAGATTTTCAGAAATTAAAAAAATGACTCTTTTTAGTCATGACCATACATACTTATTTCAATGAATGTTTTATTCTATTTTATCTGGTTGATTCTGGACTGAATGTTTAGTGCTTGCACATTTGAAATATCAAGATCAAAATATTCAGAAACTGTGTCATTTGTGTCCATATTATTTTTACTATGCAGTGAAACCTCTCGGGAGCAATCACTCTCTGTTGCACAGTAAAATGGCCGTTAATGGAGGATGATTGTTCTTAGGGGTTTAGTCTCTTAGTGACTTCAAAATGTATCAGGGGTACATGATTTTTTGCAAACGATTTTAATTTTAGTCAGTGTCATTTTCTTGGAACGGAAATGCCACTTGTGTCTTGAAAACTGGAATAAAATTCAGCCTCAATAAAAGTTATTCCCTTCTGATATAATTATGTGTAAAAACAAATTTACCAATTTAGGGATAGAACTTGAACTATTTTAAATAAATAAAAAGTTATTTTTTTTGTTTAAGTTTGTATTTTATTTTATATAATAAAAATTAGTTAGCTTTAAAAGATGAAGTTTGTTTGATGTGCTTAGTTTTTTCTAAAATAACTTTTTTTTTCTAATTTAACTTTCAACTCAAAAAATAAAGCATTGATAAGAGTGCCTTTAGTGCACTTTGACTGCAACATGAGGTTGTAGGTCTCTTTCAGAGATAGTAAAAAAAGGCTCTCTAAATAAGAGCCTAACTCAAATAGTAGGGGAGAGGGGGGTACATTTCAACATGGGGCACCTTTCAACAACTAGAATTTCTACCTTCTAATATTGCTTAAATGATTCGCCAATATGCCAGACAATAAGCTTTAACTATGCATAACTGTTGACGTTTAGTTTTAAGCACTTTCTTTNTGGAAAAAATTGAGAGGTTACCTCAAATATCAAATTAGTAAATAAAAATTAGAACTTAGATTTTGAAAGCAATAAAACTTCGAAAATAATTCTTAAGCAAAAACTGTTGAAAGGTGCCCCCCCTCCCCTATCAATACATTTTAATCTTATTTGTTTAATTAGTATTTTTTGTTTTGATATTTTTCGTGTTTCCTTATTTGGCCTTTTCCGCATTTGGTGCAGAGGTTTGCCCGGTCGCTAAGAGAGATTTTGATAGTCTCTCCTAAAGGTTTTCTTCAATACTAAGTCTTAGGAAAAAATTCTGTGCCTCCCAAAAGTGGTCGTAAGCAGAAGAGTTCACTACATATAGGTGGTCTTTCCTGAAGGTTTCACTACATATGAATCTACCAATCATAATATGTAGATTTTTATATGATGTGGATTATAAAATTTTTCCGGGTTAAATTTTGGAGTCAAACTTTTGTCGGAACTTGGTTTAATTTTTGTGATAAATAAAATAAAATTACTAGTAGCTTGATTGCCGCTATAATTAGAAATGAAATCTTCAGCTGAGATTATTTAAGATAGGTTCAAATTTTACTTGGATATGTTTCCATTATTTTGGAAGGTATTAGTCACATTAGTAAAAAAAAAAGAAGAAACAAAAAAGAAAGGAAGAAAAAAAATGTTAAAACTTTTTGTAAAAGAAAAGACTACATTTATCTACTCAACATAGAAAAATTTCTTGGTAGTGAGCTTTCATTTTTTTTCAATCCAGTACCATTTATCCTAATTGAACCTCAAAATTTTAATACTATGAAATTTTTAAGTGTTTTATTGTTTGATAATCCTTTCACTGTTGACTCTAAAAATTAGTTTGTGTAGGATCTGTTTGCTTTCCTACAAACCAAGTCTGTTGTCTTGCTCTTCAGGAATGATGTTTAAAAACAATATTATTGTATTTTTTAGATCTGAAATTGTTACTGATTATTTCTCTTTTTTCATTGTTAGGAAGAAACCATTTGGGAGAGGTGGTCAACGTTCTAATCCTGCCATGGCTTCAAAAGTACTAAAATCAATTTGTTTTGTTCTTTATTTATAGCATTTTAATGTTAGTATTGTAAAGTACTAAGTTGATCTAATTTTGTAATTTTACGTGCACAAAAGTTACAAATTCATTGAAAATAAGATTACAAACAAGGAGAAAGCCAAGCTTTTTATTATGGGTTATTTAGAATTTTAGGAAGAACTATATTTGAGTATATATGGTGTTTTTTACAATTGAAAGAATAATTTCTTTAAAACAAAGAAAATTAAATTCCTAATTTATATAAATGCTTGAATATTTATTGAAACTTTTTAAATCACTATACAGTAGAGCGCCGATTATCCGAACTGCTCGGGACCAAACATGGTTCAGATAATGAAAAGTTCGGATTATTGGAAAGTTGTTTAAAATCTAGTTTAAATGATTATTATTTATGCACTAACTTCCCTTCACACTTTTTCTAGGCTTAGGACTGGTAGTGCTATCTAAAATAGCTCTGGCGTGTTTAAAAAAATTTTTTCTTTAATTTTTAAATATTTTTTCATTTATTTTTTAAACTTTTTTTTCATTTTGAATTATTTTCATTATATTTCAGCTTTTTATATTTTTTTTTTATCAATTACTGATTTTACCACATTTTTCTTTATGTTCCATTGCAAAAGAAATCCAGCAAAGACTTTTGTTTCAAAGAAGATGCTCTTTTTTGAACAGCCATCCCCTTATTCTTTTTAAATAAATCAACTGAACGGGATCAACATCATTTTGACGTTTTAACCTATTCATTGCAATATCTAATGAATTGCATGCTTCTATATGAGAAGGTCCACTATCTTGAATTTGATCACCCACTTCTTCCTCTTCATTTTTCATTCAAAATTTCAGCAACAATTTTATCATCATTTAAAATTTGAAATCCTGGATCGTTTTCAGTGTCTCGACACCAGTGTTCTATTTCTTCTGCTGTATAACCTGGCATCTTTTCATCAGGAAGATCTACTAGTTCTAAAACTTCAGTTTCGTTTATTTTTTGGTAAGACTTTTATTCCAAGATTTCAGATTCCAAGCAGTGTAATCACTAATCATTAACCATAAGTGACAACTACCCATCCCCCAATAGTAGAACTTCAGCACATATCTATTCATAAACTCCTTCCTAATTTCAACCATTGTAGACTGTCAAATTGAAGCTCACATTCTTAGAAGATAATTTTCAGTTGAAGAGGGCTAAAGGGGTATGTAGGTTTAACTGTATAACAATACATGTATGTATTGGCTACTATAAGAAAACTGCTAAAAAAGGCTGTAAATTAAATATGGTCTTCAGATGTAGTGGATATTCTTTATTCTTCTAAATTTAGAAAAATTGTCGATAAGCTAAAAAGTATTCTAAACTTTTTAAAAAAAGAAAGAAGCGAATTCGGATAATGGGACGTTCGGATAATAAGGGTTCGGATAATCGGCGCTCTACTGTATATAGAAAATAAAGCTATGCATTTTGGGAAGAACAAGCTTTTCCTTATCAGCAGGGCAGTGAAAATACAATAACGAAAAAGAGGTAGTAAGAAATGAAGAAGGGGGGGGGGGAATTCAACCACTCAAGGAACCAGAAAATAAGAAGAGTGAATAAAAGCAAATAGCTTTGGTCTGTAGTTGGTTGTAGTTCCTTTGAAGAAAAAAAAATTTAAAAAAAATGGCAAAGAAAGCAGAGGGAAAGTGAGAATACAGAATTAAACTAATTTAAACAAGTTTTTCAAGCTCACGATAAAAATTCAAAAATTTTCTTCATTTTCATATTGTCTTCATAAAAATGCTAAATTTTCTGAAAAGAAATTTTTTTTTTTACATTTATTTAAGATAGAAAGCATTCAAGATAAAATTTTTCTGATTTATGCTACACTTTCCGTTAACCACTGAGTATCATGAAGGGTTAGGATTCTGTCTATTGTGGCCGAAACTTACCCAGCTTCAGATTAATGGTAGTAGTTCTTAATTTACACACACTAGAGCTGCGTAATGGGCTAATACTACTGCTACAGATAGATGGGTAGTAGCTTGTCTGAAGGGGAAAATTGGCTGGCAAAAAATACTATATAGCCAGGCCACCATCATGCCATTGTTCCCAAATTTGTGTAATTTCTTAATGTCAATGACTCGATTGGTTTGGTAACCAGCCGTTGTGGGTGCTTTTATAGCAATAAAAATATTAATAGATGCTTTTTTTCGTATTCATATATGTGTAATAAGCCTGATTTTATTATTTGATTATTTAGCATTGTTGTTTGTATGACTATTTTTATTATTGTTATCTTTATATTCAGTCAACTTGGAAATGTGAAATATGTTCTATCCAATTTACTTCTCAAATTCCTCTCGATATGCATCTACGGGGTTCAAAACACGCAAAAAAGCTGAAAAGCCAAACTGCATTTAATTCTATTCAAGGACAAAGTAAGTTTCTTATTTGAGAGTTTAATCAACATTTTTTTTGTATTAAGTAGCAAAGAATTAAGTTTTGCTATGTTTTAAATATCTCTTTTATTAATGATAATTTTATTTTATTATTTAAAGAATTCTCAAGTTCTTAAATAACAAAAATTAATGTATTGTTTGAATGTTTCTTCTTTTTTATTTTGTAATATTTTTGGTTTCATATAGAAGGAATTTCTGTTTCTATTTCAAAAAACAAAGTTTTGGGGTAGAACTAAAAATGTATGTAATGTTTATAATAAATATCCCTTTTTTCGATCTATGGATACACTTGTTATATTTCTCTCACACAAAAATTTGCATAAAATACTGTAATTTTGCAAAGGTGCGCCACATCTGAAAAATTTGACTAAAAAGGAAAAGCTTTTCATCAGAAAGGTCGCAACATCAGATAAGCCACACTAAATTTTACTATGTAATCGAACATAGTAAAATTTACATAAAACATAGTAAAATTATCCGTGATATGCATCTGTTTCAAATAACAAGTTATTTATAAAATAAATAATTAGACATTTAAAAATCATTGTAATAATTATTAAATATATGATAAATTAATATATAGGATATTATTACTACAGTAGACGCCGCTTAATGTGATCACAGTTAATGTTATCAATCGTTTAATGTTATCAAAATCGCTTAGTCCCGTCCGCTTATATCAAAATACATTGAAAAATCATCGTTTATTGTAATCAAATGTTCGTTTATTGTTATCAGTTTATAGGTAAATTTTATTTTCCTGAAATCAATAAAAACAAGAAGAAAAACTTTTTTTGTGTTTTGTGAAGTGTTTCCTGAAACTTACCAAAAGTCCAAACGGGGCTGGTATATTATCTTTTAAACATGTGTTATTATGAGGGGGGGTATTTTGCCATTTTCGGTCAAGCACTGCAAAATTCCGCCGCACTGTACGATTTCAAATTCCCGGAAATCCTAAATAAAGAGAAAAGAAGACCTGCCAGTAACGAGTCAATGTTTGTCACGAGCCCCTTTTCAGAAGAACTAAACAATGTGACAGATGATATGTTCCAGCCGCTATGGGAAGGGGGTAAGGGGTGACCTTCAAAAGAGAAAATTGTTTCAGGTATGCCACTTGATCTTGGCAGGTCCCTTACTGAATCGCTATTGGTCAAACAATAAAATGGGAAGGGGGATAGTGAAACTGCAACATCTAAGTGTTTAAAAGACGGAAAAAAATCATTTTTTAGCTTAATTTTTTTTTTCGTTTATTGTAATCAATCAGTTATTGTTATCAAATCAGGTTCGTCCCGATGTGATCACATTAAGCGGCGTCTACTGTACTACAATCAGAAATTATGTATTTCGATAATTTTCATCATAACTTGTCAAATAAGCTCAGAATTGTATTGCGTACAATTGTGCACAATTCAAATGCAACAGAGTCGCAAACGCCAATAATAAATACCAATTTCAAATATTCAAATTTTATCTAAAGTGTTTCACCTCACTCATTAATTTTAGAGAAAATTTTTTTCATACCTGCAGCAGAAGAAAGGAGGTGGGGAAATCGTACTTATGTCGATTCTTGTAAGAGACTTATTGGTCAACGGCTTCTTTGGTTGAAGAGGAAAGCATCTCTTGCACTAATGTTACATTGTTGCAAATTATTTTTCACCTGCACTGTTAATTCTTTAGATTATTATTGAACGTTAATTATAAAAATAGATCTCTGTAAAAGATAAAAAGATGAGGAGTAATAATGAAATTTTGGAGAACCAATTCAACAATATAGAATTATCAAGTTCAAGTTGCAAAAAAAAAACAAAAAAAAAGCACCCGATAGGCCACCCCATTAAATACACCACATATACCAAAATTTAATGTTTTAAATCAGAAATGCCATGGCGTACCTTCTCGAAATTACGATATTAGGAACTGAATTCTGAATAGCTTACAGGTTAGTTTTTTGTTTTTTCCTATGTTGTTTCTGAATGATCGTTTAATTTTCTTTTCAATAATTATAAATTATTTAAACATTAAAAATTTATAGCGTAGCAAATATTTCATTTTATGGAGATAATCTAAATATTCGACGATTTAAAAATAATCTCACACAGTCATACAGTAAATGCTCTAAATGTTTGCAGAATTTTGAACTGTTAACTAATTGTTGTAAAGTTAAAGTGTAAAAAATCTGCAAAGGTTTTCCCCATTGGAACATCAATTGAATTTTCTCCCCCTTACCCAGTTTAAATCTTGTAACAAGTTCTTACCAAGTAATTCATTAAAATATTTGAATTTTCTAATTTTTTGTTTGCATTCTCAATAACTTTTTTCATTTTATGATGACTGAATACAAAAGATAGCTGATGTCTGAGATAGCTGTCTTTATACTGTTTTAGAATGAAATAATTAAAACTATTTTTGGTAGGTTTTTTTTTATAAAAATTAAAATATTATGTATATCTATTATATTTTAAATTATCAAAGATCATAAATATTGAAGATAATTTCAGTTTCTATATTGTTGTAATTTGCATTCTAGCATATTTAGTTATCTATTAATTATATTGCTGAAATTATAAAAGTTCAAACTTAAGCAATATCATTATCAAATATCATTTAACAATATCATTAAAGGATAAATGAAATAAACTTGAAGTGTGCTTTTTAGTCTTTTTTACTTGAAAAATTGATATTTATTGTGCTATGAATAAAATTATATTCATTAGCAGTCAGTGAGTTTTAAAATTTTGACCTAGCTTAAAATCCATCTTGACAAAAATAGACAAAACTTAAAATAACCATACATTTGATTGCATTTTTCAAACTTCTTTAATGAGTATTTCTTTTTTTAAAGAAGGAATTAATGAATCCAGATAAATTTATAATAAATGCATAAATCGCTTTGTAAATTTTTTNTAAATTATCAAAGATCATAAATATTGAAGATAATTTCAGTTTCTATATTGTTGTAATTTGCATTCTGGCATATTTAGTTATCTATTAATTATATTGCTAAAATTATATAAGTTCAGACTTAAACAATATCATTATCAAATATCATTTAACAATATCAGTAAAAGATAAATGAAATAAACTTTAAGTGTGCTTTTTAGTCTTTTTTATTTAAAAAATTAATATATATTTTGTTATGACTAAAATTATATTCATTAGCAGTCAGTGAGTTTTTAAATTTTGACCTAGCTTAAAATTAATTTTGACAAAAATAGACAAAACTCAAAATAACCATACATTTGATTGCATTTTTCAAACTTCTTTAATGAGTATTTCTTTTTTTAAAGAATGAATAATGAATCCAGATAAATTTATAATAAATGTATAAATTGCTTTGTAAATATTTTAAAAATTAGTCTTTTTTTTAAAGTTCATGAAAGGCAACAATTGTTTTTACAAGGTTACCACAGTAGCTATAAATTATAATTGTGGTTGTAAATTTGCGCTGTAGAAATTTAGAGTTTTAAAACTCACTTTATCGTTTGGAATTCTGATTACGAAGAGATGCCGACCCCATAGTCCGGGACTTGCCCCGAAATGATTATGCTCAGTACAGGGTATCCGCGAACCTGGAAAGTCATGAAAAATCATGGAAAGTCTTGAAAAATCATGGAAAGTCATGATTTTTACTATTTTTTTAAAAAAAATTGTAGAAAGTCATGGATTTAGGTCTCCGAAAGATCTAATTTTTAAAATGGAATCCCCCCCCCCCCAGAATTCATCCTGTTCCTAATATCTAAATTTCTAACAAAATCACCACTCAGTCACATTTTATTAGAATATAAAATGATTTTATCATGTTTCTTAAAAATTACTGTGTTCTTTAAAAAAATGAAAGAAAAAGCATCATTTCTAGAGCGAATTATCTTTTAAGCTCTCTGCTCTATGATGTAAGAATTTTTATTTTATCAATTTAAAATTCTAGTTGAAGCAAACCTGTCATTGGCGAATTTCTTTTATTCCGAAATGAGAACGGAAAAATCAAGAGTATTTCTTTCCTTTCTGATGAACAAGAAAAGTATCTTTAGAATATAATTCTGCAGAAAAAAAAAAATATTTGCTTTTGTATTTTTTTCAGCTATTTTATTGTTTCAACTCTTTCTCTACTCTGTTTTTTAAATTTAAAATCTATAAATATGAAGATGCAGAGCATAACAGTTTTGGTTATACCTATTATTTCGAATAATGTTATAATGCTTTTTTAAATTTATTGTTGCGTTTTTTAGTAACTTCTTTAAGTCTTGAAAAATCCTTGGAATTAGTCATGGAAAATCATGAAAAGTGATGAATTTGAAAATCTAAAATGTAGCAGATACCCTGTTATTATTTAAATAAGAGAAAGTAAGTGCTCTATACCCCCATTTAGTTGTTAAAGTTGGGTTATAAACTGAAATGGCATAATTTTTGCTGTGTCTATTTTAGTAAACTTGTATTTTCAGCTTTGACCATTTTCGTAAACACACATTTCAAGCTATGTTAAGATTTAAAAACTCACCGATGCTTTTCTACTGTATGCAAACTAGTTCTAACTAACATCTGTTTACTAATAACCGATATGTTTCAGTCACACAGATCAAAGAAATTGAAAAGTCAGATGGGAAAAAATTCTACTGTGAGTTGTGCGATATAATTGCCAATAGCTCTCTTCAACTTCAAATGCATTTAGATGGTATGAATGTAACAACATAATTTCTTAAATTTTCTGCATGGTTACTTTTACCTATAATTTTTTTTATTGATTTTTAGGAACCAAGCACAAAAATAAATTAACCCAATCTACTGAAAATACAACAGAAGAATCTAAAGATATGCTGGGAAACAAAAATGTAAAAGAGAAAGAAGAGCTTAATGGAAAAAGTTAGCTTGTTTTTTCTTTAACTTTATTTACTAAGACAATTTCCTTTACATACAGACATATTTTTAACTTCCCCTAGAAAATTATTTCATTCATAGAAAATCCAGAGAGATCTTTAAAATATAAATGAATGAATAAATAGATGTTTAGTATTGTCACGTATTGTACTTTAATTAAAGATTTAACAAAAATTGTGTGGCACATTCGGTGCGGACGTTTTCCTGGTCGCTGTGGGAGGTTTTAGTGGTCTCTCCTAAAGGTTTTTTTCAGCATAAAGTCTATGGAAGTCTGTGCCTCCCAAAAGTGGTCGTAAATGGAGGAGGTGGTCTTTTCTGGAGGTTTTACTGTATAATCTCAGGGAAGACACTAGGCTTTCAAAATCCCGGGTCCCTGGGACCCATGACTTTTAAAAAACTGGGTCCTTTTGAAAAAAAATGGGTCCCTTACATAAATTTTTAAACAAATATAATCTTTCTGAAAAATACTTAATAGATTATTAGTACATGAATTATAACAATTATAATGCTGTAATATGCTAATATTGAAATATAATAGAAAAATAAAATAAAACAAAATCTAAATTTATGTAAAATATTTTTATTAGTGTGCTTCCCTCTCTACTTATTTACACTGCTTCCCCCTCTACGTATTTTACAAGACTGAAATATCTTATGTGCTCTTATAATTACATCTTGGGAATTTGACATATCTGGCCCTTCAAGNAGTTTTTTTTTTTTTTTTTATACCGAGGATGCATACCGATTTATTTTTTGCGTCCCAATTTTTCGATTTTATTAAAATGTTTCGATATCAAAGATTAAAAAGTCGGGAAATTTATAAACTTTCTTCAAAAATTTACGCGTCCCGCGGGACGCGTAGCGATCATTTTTTTGCGTCCGATTTCAATTTTTTGCGTATTTTACGCGCTATAGCGCGTAAATGTCTTCACTGAATCTCCTTTTGTGACTAAATTCTTTTCTTTCATTAAAAATTTCAGACGACTAGGGCATGCATTTCAATCAAAAATAAGACTTTATCTTAATGAGGAAATTAAATAATAATCAAAAATAAGACTTTATCTTAATGAGGTATTAATAAGTTTATTCTAAAATTGTAATTTGAAATTATTTTAGGTAATGGAGGTGGTGGTGGTGTAAGAAGACCAGCACCTGCAGACTTTAGTGAGCCTCAGCCAGTAAAAATGACTAAATTTTCTTGTGATATATGTAATATTTTTATGAATTCTGAAGTACAACTGCAACAGGTAAAAAGAGATATTATAAGTTAGATTAAAAAAAAAAATTGAGTATAAGAAATGTTATATGTTATTTTAAGTACTTTAAACTAATGTTGCAACTTGATATTACAGGATTACTTTATAATAAAAGAATACCACTTTCAATTTAGAACTGTTAATTTGGGATAAAAATAAAATACAGTACAGAACCCATTATCCAGAAATCAGAAAACCGGAAAACCATAAAACCGGAACGAAATTCGATAAATTTTCTCGCCATTTAAAAAAAAATTTTTTTTTTTCCCCTCATAAGATTTTACGATTTTTCTTTCTTTTTTTTAAAGATTTTTACCTTACCATCATTTTGGAAATAATCATTAGTGTATTACTTCATCGTTTTTTCTTATTTTTAAGATTATTTCAAAATTTGTTTTTTAGTTGGGTTTAACAATTAAAAAAACGACTTTTNTCTTATTTTTAAGATTATTTCCAAATTTTTTTTTTTAGTTGGGTTTAACAATTAAAAAAACGGCTTTTTGTAGCGATTCAGAAAACCAGAAAAGTCCGTTATCCGGAATAGCGATGCTCCCGACCGTTCCGGATAATCGGTTCCCTACTGTATCACATCATAATAGTAGAAAATAATATTAAGAATGATAGAGGATGATAATGAAATAATACAAATAAATATCAGTAAATGATGAGAAAATAAATAATTTATCAGTATCTGTTAATTAAGAAACCTTACCAATTTTTTGGCCATAGGAATGTGTTGATTACTTTGAAAAATCATTTTTGACCCTTTTATTTATATATTCCACCGGGAATTAATATAAAAAATATATTGGTTTGAAAATTATAAATCTTCTCGAGCATAATTGCATTTTTATTTTATAAAAATTTTCATAAAAATATTTATTGCAATGAATTTAAAAACCTAATGGAGAAATATTGATAGTGAAAATGATTAAAGTGCTTAGATATTAGTAGGGCCTGTATTTATTTGAAACTCTAATTTAAACTTTTTAAAATTAAATCTTCTAATATATACCCATGTAACATTCAATCAATAGAAAAGAAAGAATTTTTTTGGCAAAACTGAATATTTAGCAAAACTACTCACTAAGGAATTTGTGATGCTGTTAAATAAAAAAACTTGTTCTAATAATTTTTTCAATGTTTTTTCCAAATTTCTTTATTTACTTTTTTTTAAAATTAATGTAAAAAAATTTTGAATCCTAATTTCTGCACTTTAATTTTACAATTTAATTTCAATAAAATCATTAAAAATGGAATGCAGATTAGTTTAATACATGTTGTTAACCCTTAGCAATCTGAAAATATTTTTACATAAAACCCAACCCGGGTGGGCAAAAGCTGCCTGGTCCTATTTTGGTGAACCCTGTTAATTAATACAATTATGTCAGTACTTACATTATAATAAAATTGTTTTTTTATTGTTTTTTTTTATTGATTAATTTTCTTTTTTGAGAAAGGTAAATAATTGACACTGTCACTGATGGCATATGTATATTCAATGATGAATTATCATACTATTTTTAAGGTCCTTAATTTTTCAAAAAAGTCCTTAATTTTTTTTAAAGAAAAAGTCCTTAAGATGTGTTAATTTTTGCTTTGCTAAAAGAGTGGGAACCCTGTTATAAGTTATGGCCCTTTACACCTAGCTGTAAATGTTCTGATGAAATGAGCTTTCTATAATATTTGCTATAGTTAAAATTTGTTGTATTCAAGTACGAAGTACTTGTTTCCCTAATTTGGATTGCTATAGTTATGAGACATTTTAAAATTCTAGTAAGTAATATTAGTACATTAGTTAAAGTTTTAAGCTTTCAATATTGATAAACAAGTTGTAAACATGGAAAAATGTAAATCAAGCAACTAATTAAAATTAATAGAACTTTTTGGCCATTTATGAATTTATAAACTTCTTTACAGAATTTGCCTTTTTTTGTATATATTTCTAAAATTAGATAGCTATCCCCCCCCCCTAAAAAAAGCAGAATTTAAAATATTAGAAGTTAGACTTCATCTCCAGAAAGCAACATATAAAAGTATTAATAGTAAGAATTTCAACAAACTAAACAATCTTCTGAATCCACATAATTTTTCATCAGTTGGTGCAAAAAAATCAAACATGATGTTTAAAACATTTTCCCCAAACTAACCAATCCTCAATTTTTATTTTATTTTAACAAAATAAAAATAACATTTGTGATAGGACCGTTAAAAACAGATAATGTATTTGGTAAAAGGTAGGACCATGTATATCTATATTTGTGTCCAAGAATCTACTGGATTTTTATTTACACCTGTTGGGCATAAAATAACTGTTGAACTTTGTTGATTAATATTGAACTTTGTTGGCATAAATTATTTATTATTAGTTTTTGGAAATCCTAATTTTTGTATTTTATTCTTGACAGAATGTATCCTTTAAAAAATAATTTTTTAAAGTAAAATAATTTTGTAAAATAAGCCTCTATTTTTATTATTTTTGCAGCACCTAACAAGCAAAAAACATCAAGCTAAAGTTGAAGGAAAACCAATAATCAAAAAGAGGAAATTTCAAAAGCAGGTAATGTGAAATTTGCTGAATTGGTAATGTTTTAAGCTATGTTTTAAAAGTTCCATATTATTTTGTATTGATTTAAGATAACAAATTTCGTAGTAAAAATTTTTTTTAACAGAAATTATTGTAATAAATACCTCACTGAATTGAGTTCCTGTTTTTAAAAAAATTTCGTACTGGAGTAAATTTGTCTTTTCGTTGCTATTTTGTCCCTTGTTTAGAAGAGAAGTTTGTCTTTGAAAATATAAAATGAATTTAGGATAACTAGTTTAAGTTTTGAGTTAAGAATATTTTAGCAAAATTGTTCGTGGCGTTTTCAATTTTACAGGCTTATTGAATTTCTCTTTTTTATTTGACTTTATACTGGACTTACGTTTTTTTGCTTTTTTTTTTGTTGCTGAAATTTGAATATCTACTTCATCTGCTGTAATATAATTTAATATATTAAGAACAACCATTTTCCATTTAATGTACCTTAATGACTTTTTTCTATTTAATGTACCACTGACATTAGATGAAAAAAAAAGCACTAAATTATATTCATATATATTTTCCTTATCAGTTAAATCTACTATTTTCTAGATATTTATTAGTAAAGCTCTAACTAAGAAATTTTTGCATCTTACAAATCTGAATCAGAAAGAGCTTCTGTTAAGACTATTACTTCTTGCATTGTTAGGCAAGGTACTAAGAAGCAAAATTGTAAATTAAACAAATAAAGCGGTCCCTTTTCCTGAGCTCATGCAGCTAAAAAAATGTATCTCTATAATAGAAATTATTAGAATAAAAAATAACTATTAATGCTATAATCTATTCAATACCATTATAGAAAACACATTAACAAACCCTGGTAAAGCTAAATTAATTGTCAAATAACAATAAGAAAAAGTATAACAATAAAAATATAACTTTTAATCCAGTGAAACCTCGTCAAATTCAACACAAAGGGGAACAGAAAAGACGTTCAGGTTAAAAGTAGTTCACATTATCAGTCTAAAATTTTTTTTGGATGAAAGTCGTACAATTCGCAGGCATTTTGTATTATCTATATCTGTTATCTTTTTGCATTTTCTAACCTTAAATTTCTATTATGAATGTGTAAATTCTATAAATAAATTCATTTCAGTGAATGATTTTACTTTGAACTTTGTATTAAATTAATTACATAGGCATCTCATAATAAATGCAACCAATTAGTTTAAAAAATAAAATGAAGTTACAAGGGGGGGGGGAATATAGTTCTCACAAAATTCAAAAAGTGTACTGACTTTAGGTGCTATATATATATATTTAATTTGCAGAAGCAAATAAAACATTACTGTACAGTAACTAATTAATAGGGGTAAACAGATTTATTGCATAAAATAGAAAAGATTATTAACAAAATAATCGGTAACAGCTCACTGTTGTAATTTCTTATTCGCATATGCTTTCGAAAATTTTTTAAACTGACCAACTGCATACAAAAAATGATATGTATTTTAGTTTTGCATTACAAAAGAACAAACAGTTTTAATTGTTTTATAAACATCCATCAGAGGAAAGTTAACTAAAGCATTCCCTAATGAAATTTTCTCCACATGTTTTCATTCGTAGATATGCAATAAGCTATTTCAATTTCTTAGAACAGCCTATGAGAGTGTGTGAGAAATTGTTATCCATAGTGAATAAAGGATCAATTATCAGGGAAAAAGGCTTCTTTACATTCACACACACACAAAGTATTCCTATGTGGTGAAAGTAAACTCGATTCATATTAGAGTACAAAAGGACTTATGTAATTTCCTGTAATGCCTTTCCCCCCCTCACAACTTTCATTTGACTGTTGTAATGTTGCAATTATCAACACTATAACAAAGCTTTAAAATAATGTACTCTTGTATTGCTGTGCAAAAGAAAAATCAATGTAAGTGACGGAAAATTCAAAATTGAGATTTATATATATATTTGGCATCGCTGTGTGATACATTACACGTTGCAAAAATATTTTTTTCAAAAATAAGTTTTGCTTTATCAGTTTTTTAAAATTCTATTTTAGCGTTCATAGCATTAGCAATAGAAAGAAAATAGTTACCAAGCTACTTTTCTCAGAATCTATTCTGAAGCACTTATGTTTTTTTTCCAATTGCATGGCAGTATAGATATAGAGCTGTGAATTATCAGTTTTCTTACCTGTCAGATAGGAAATAAATCTTCTGTTCACATTAAAGGTAAAAAATGTTTTCAGGTGTAATAAAATTAGAGTTTACCTTAAAAGATGTTTCATGTTAAGCATGCTCACGCTAAAAGTACTTTAAAGAATTATATCTGTATGCAATTTGACGGGAAATCGAAAATTAGTTCACGTTAAAAGAAATTGACGTTGGTCGTGTTCACGTTAACGAAATTTGACTGTACAACAAGAGAAAATACTGTGCATAAATGGGTGTATTACTTGCATTATGTAAGCATTGTTGTAACGTTTCACGCTTGTCAATTTCACTTTAGAAAACCACTGCTGCAAATTCATTATTTTCTGAAGATTAAAATGAAATGTTTAATTGAGAAACATTCATCCCCTTTTTTTAAAATTATTTTTCTTGAATAAGTAACCACCATGGCAGAATTGTGGTGACACGGCGACATTGTCGCAGAAAATTAAAGAGTTCTTACAGAAAGATTTTTTTATTTGAGAAGTTTTTTATTTGAGTCGTTTTTTTTTTACCTGCAGAATTTTTCGAAATATATTTTTTTTCTGTAGAACTTTTTTCCCCTTTTCTGCAGAATTATATTCAAAAAATCCCTTTCTCGCATATCGCAGGTGGAATAAATGCTCGTGATCTTTTTTTTTCTACTTTCTTTGGGGAGTGGGAGCTAAATTTATTAAAAAAGTTGAATAATAATGAGAACTTTATCAAATTAGATTAAAAAAAATATGTATTTAAGTATATTTTAAATATTTGTAAAATTATATTATTCATATATATATCATTCCTTGCTCTTTTATAGAAATATTGGCAGAAAAAATTTAATTTTATTATACCCACTTAAAAAGTTTTACTGGTAAAATAATTTTTTTTCCTCGTGAAAAAACTTATTAAACACATTTTACTATATATATATATTTTAAATTGGTTTATTTATTATTCTGTGAAATTGCATTAAAAAAATTTTTGATAAAAATTTTTCACATAGGATGAAGAGGGTGTGCAACCAATCGAACAGCAACCTGAAACTGAAAATGAGACTAAAGTAGAACCTACAAGTGTTGTTGGAGTCAAAACTTTGTCTGCTAGTTTTGTGCGAAGTGAAAATTTGTTGTAATTTAATCCCATGTGTCATATATATAAAATTCATAAGCATAAATGATTATAGTACAATCATATTTTGTGTTTGTACTTTCCTATTAGAAAGGTAATTTCTTTGGGAATATTTTCTGTACTATAATCTCAACAAAATTGCCATCACAGGATTTTCGATATCAGAGATTTTTGAACTGTATTTAAATTTTTTTTTTCACGACTGCAAAAGCATGGGATTAAATGTGAAGGAAAAGCTGTATGTATATATATCATATTTATGTTTATCCATTCATTAAGTAAGGGTTTTCATACATGTATGAGCGTAAATCTTTTAAAATGTAGCTTATTTAGAATGTTGTAAACTTTTAGTGTAGCTGTTTCTTGCATATTATGTGTGAACATAATTTCACAAATAGATATATTGTTATGCAAAGTCAAGATTGGGTTTGATCATTAATACTATAGATTTTTGCCAAAAATGTGCAAAAAAAAAAAAAAAACATTATATCGGTCATCAAATGTCCTTCCATTTCATTTACTTTGTGTACCGTACAAAAGCACATTGAATTTGCTGTTATGTTATACATAGTTGATTTTGACTTAATTTGATAATATTATTTTTTACATTCTGATTAAGTTTCATATTTTTTAAACCTTACCTTTAATGTTTTCGTAAATGCTATTGTGTTATCCAAAAGTGTTGACATGTCTAACAATAATGAACTACAAATATAATAAATATCTAATAATAAATTATTGTAGATTGAATTATTCATTTTATTAGATTTACATTTTATCAATTATTTCCTATGTTGTCAGCTCCTGTATATGAATCTAACCTTAGCAATTTTATTAAAATACAGTAGAGAACCAATTATCCGGAACGATCAGGACCATCGCGATTCCGGATAACTGATTTTTCCGGTTTTCTGAATCGCTACAAAATGCCGTTTTTTTAATGTTTATAAAACGAAACTAAAAAATTATTTTGAAATAGTTTTAGAAATAATAAAAAATGATAAATAATAATACACTTAAGTTTAAATAAGGAAAGAAATTATGAAATAAAAATTATATACAGGCTTATATATGTTATTAATGTTATTATTAACATTAATAACATATATAAGCTATTTGTGCTTATGTGAGATTCGTCTACAAACGGCTTTTGATCCGTCCTCTAAATCAGTTCTTTCGTCAACTCGATACGCCGTACGCTCTACATAACAAAATGGGCTCAAAATTTTGCAGGAAAAAAAATTTTTTTTAATGGAAGAAAATTAATTTCCGGTTCCAAATTTCATTCCGGTTATCTGGTTTTCCGGATAAAAGGTTCTGCACTGTATATATTGATTCTGTTTCAATAGAATGGTTTCTGACTCTAGGTGGAAAGCAAAAGATGCATAATTTGTTGGTTGGCGATCTGAGAATTATAAAATGGTTATTACACAAGATTGCTTCAGAAATGTTTTCTTTATTTTTTAGCAAGAGAAAAAAATATTTATCATGAAACCTTAATATGTAAAATAGGGTGCCTAGCATTTTTAAAAAGTGCTTATTTTTGATTTACGTTTTTTAAAAGCCCTTAAAGGTACTTTTCTTATTCGGGGTTTGTTAAAAGTGCTTAATTTTATGTGTTTTAAAAAGAGATTTTTTCTTTGGCTTATCGATTGTCGTTCTAAATTACAAAAAATTCACGAATTTTCTCTGCAATATTTATCAGAAACTAGTTATTTTATTATGATTATGTAAAGTTTATGAAAATGTTTCTGAATTTTATTGATTTTATGTTTATAAATTAAAAACTTTAAACAATAGGAAAAAAAATTATTACATGCACAGATCCTAATTATGTTTCTTTTGGGGGGGGGGGAAGTTATTAAAAATATTTTTTGTTGGAAAATATGGCTACGCACCCTCTAATTATGACTGGCAGTTGTATTATTTATTCACATAGTGAACAAAGCATCTTTATTTTTTTTCTTCCCCCACAAAGATTAGTAACACTGTACTACATGAATACTGTCCCTTAGATGAAAATATCATATATCTCAGTGTATAAGTCTAGTTTTCAAATCTTCAAAATGTTATGAAAACATAGTTGCCATCTCTACTGGATTTTCCAGTAGACTGCTGGTTTTTTCCAGTTCCTCCTGGTTTACTGGTTTAATAAAAANAGTTATTAACAATATTTTTTGTTGGAAAATATAGCTACGCACCCTCTAATTATGACTGGCGGTTGTATTATTTATTCACATAGTGAACAAAGCATGTTTATTTTTTTTCCTTCCCCCACAAAGATTAGTAACACTGTACTACATGAATACTGTCCCTTAGATGAAAATATCATATATCTCAGTGTATAAGTCTAGTTTTCAAATCTTCAAAATGTTATGAAAATCAGGCGCAGCGTATACACCGTTAATAAAGTTGGACATTTATTGATCGTGAAATGTCAATGTGTTATAAACAATGAGATAAATATGAATAACTCTTTTTAATTTATCCTTTTCAAAAACTATTTTAATTATGTTATATACAATTAATTTTCTCTCATATTTTCTTTACATTAATTAAGAATAAGAAAAGTTGAGTCAATTATTCAAAAGTATTTAAAAAATATTATATTATGAAAGCTATTAAAACAGAAAGTATAGTCAAAACTACAAAAAAAAAAAAAAACCTGAAAAAAAAGTGTGGTCAAAACTACCAGAATAAGGTAAAAACACACCAAAAAGCACAATAATTTTTAGCAAAGTGTTTTAGTAATGATTCTTAAAGGAAGATTAACAATAAAATATGGTTTTATTACCATGTTGTTTTGTAGTAAATGTGGTAAAATTTGGTAATTTTAACAGAACTAGTATAATTTCAAATGATGCAAAAATTTTTTTATTACTTCTATTTTAAGTCTATAATCCCCCCCCCCCCAAAAAA